TCTAGAAATATAAAATGTGGGCCAAGCATCTGTATATGGATTTACAGAACATCAATCAGGAAAATTGTAAAATTAGGGCAACAGCTAACGTTCACTTTCGTTTTTTGATTAATATTCAGATTCATTTCTTGGTTCTAAATCGTTTCCTGTATGAATGTCAGATCATCATACATTTGTCCAAGCCCAGTGTGATTCTTTCAATTTGCTTGTTTTGGTACTGCAACCAAAGATATTACATTTACTATCACATATGACAAAGAAAAGCAGTGAATCATAACAGTTTGAAAGTTGGAATTGGAAAATGTTTCTACTCTGCTTGACTTAAAGAGGCCCTATGATATTTGGGTTTTCCCATTCCCTGTAGGGTATTATATAGGTTTTGGGGCATGTAAATGGTCTGCAAAGGCTAAAATTACAAAGTTCCCTCCAATCGAGTTTATATTCCAAACACTCCCCCCCTGCCTGAAATGCATTGATTTGACTCCTTTGTTTACTTCTGTACAATAATGACATCCCATGTCACAATTGCACTTGTATTGGCTTGCGCTCCAACACATTATACAATATAGGCTAAGGGGCGGGACACCTCTAAGCTGTTGACCAATCACAACAGAGCCAGCCAGCTAGACAATCAGAGCAGACTGGGCTCTGGTTTCAGACAGAGGGTGAAAATAAGTGCTGCAGCACAGGCAGTATGAGGAAAATAAAGACCTTTTTGAACATTGAAGCATGTAAACATCCATCCATCCATCCATCTTCTCCCGCTTATCCGTGGTCGGGTCGCGGAGGTAGCAGTTCCAGCAGAGAGCCCCAAACTTTCTTTTCCCTGGCCACATCAACCAGCTCTGACTGGGGGATCCCAAGGCGCTCCCAGGCCAGCGAAGAGATATAATCCCTCCATCTGGTTCTAGGTCTACCCCTTGGTCTCTTCCCAGCTGGACGTGCCTGGAACACCTCCCTAGGGAGGCGCCCAGGTGGCATCCTAACTAGGTGCCCGAACCACCTCAACTGGCTCCTTTCGACGCGAAGGAGGAGCGGCTCAACTCCGAGTCCCTCCCTGATGACCGAACTTCTCACCTTATCCCTAAGGGAGACACCAGCCACCCTGCGGAGAAAACCCATCTCGGCCGCTTGCACCCGCGATCTCGTTCTTTCGGTCATGACCCATCCTTCATGACCATAGGTGAGGGTAGGAACGAAAATGGCGCGGTAGACAGAGAGCTTTGCCTTCTGACTCAGCTCCCTTTTCGTCACAACGGTGCGGTAAAGAGACTGCAGTACCGCTCCCGCTGCTCCGATT